AAAACGACAGGAGGGAGAAGGCACATCAGTCTGGCATGCTTTCTTCTAAATTTACATTCAAAAAGGTGTCATTCAAGGAACATTGTCTTGGTTCTATCCTTGTAAAGACTAAGACACGATTAGAGTAAAAACTCCAGCTGCTTCTGTGAGATAAATGGGAATTCACATTCATGGCATGGTCGGAAGGCACGGGTCACCCTTATCTAGCAGAGGGCGACAGCCAGCCAGCTTCAGCTTCGGTCCCTGGGCCTTCTCCGCCAGCCCCAGCCTGCAGTTCACTTGTTTCCACTTGCTGGAGGCAGCCTCAGGCTTAGGGAGAGTATGTTACACCAGATTGCAATAATTTTTTTAAATCTGTTCTTTCAATACAACCTTCTTTTAAACTTAACATTAATTTTTCAATCTGTGATTATCATCACCCAATATTCATCTTTGCATTTGCTTTCTCTAATAAAGCACACATTTTTATAATCCAAATGAATAATGAAGACTACCTGCAAATTCCATGGCAATATAACTTCTGAGCAGCAGCAGCAGGTTTTCTGATAAGGTCCTCATCTGATAAACATTCAGCCTAACATTTACACAAAAGTTTAAAGTTAAACTGAGGACTACAATTCTAGCTACAAAATAACACGTCACCCCACAGAACTTACAAATAATCATAGCTGCTCAATTATTTCAGGACTGAGACCCCAGAGTCCGAAGTCTAAATTGAAACTAGATGTTTCAATTTTTCAAAAGTCAAAAAAATTGAAATTTTTCATTCCATAGCCTCCCATATAGTCAGAAAATTCTAAGAAACCTCTCTGGATTCAGAAAGTATCTTGTAACACAGGCTGAAGCATTAATAAATGTTATCTATTACATAATAATATCTACATCTCAAATTTTAGCTCCCTAAATACAGGTAGATAAAATATCACAAAGACAAAGAAAACCGATTTTCCCATGGTCAGTCAGGAGTAAAATTTATCTTAGTTCCTAACTTAGTACTTTATATGCTAAATTACACAGCTGCTTTAGCGGCTGGAACCTTATATAAACAAATTGAGTCTAAAATTATATTCTCTCCAAAGAAATTAATTGGATAATTTATCAAGTGTGAAAATAACATTAGAATATTCTGCACAACCAAAGGATTTTAAACAAATGCATTATAAAAATATCCCTTCAGGCAAAATAAATAAGATAAACATTCAGCCTAACATTTACACAAAAGTTTAAAGTTAAACTGAGGACTACAATTCTAGCTACAAAATAACACGTCACCCCACAGAACTTACAAATACTCAGTCATAGCTGCTCAATTATTTCAGGACTGAGACCCCAGAGTCCGAAGTCTAAGTAGACTTCCAAAGTCATATGTGTTAGCAAATACAGCAGAGTGTAACCGTAGATTTAGGCACAGAAGTCCACTATGGTACAAGCTTTCCTGCATGTCTGAGAAATGTCATGATAAAGTGCTAAGTGAAGAAGTTGACAGTGACACCTATGCCTCAGCACAGGATACTTACAGGATACTGGGCAGTGATGCGACACATGGAAAAAGCTGTGTTCCGATCCATGCCATCATTTCATGTTATAGGTTAGAGTGAGCCAAGGACAGGAGACCCGTAAGTGACCAGAACATGATTCCTGCCCATAAACACTCCACCTTCTCCTGGGGGGCAGCACGGAAGCAAAACCAGTTCCGGCTGCTTCAAGGGCTTCCCAGGAGCAGGAATGAGCTCCAGCAGGAAGCACAAGCTCCCAGAGCAGGGCAGCGTTCTCCCTTCCCCTCCTCTTACAGGCAGGGCTAGCATCCAGCAGAGAAAGCACTAAGACAGGGAAAGGACCACCACGTCTCCTTTTCCATAAAACTCTTTTTCTGATCTTGAATTATTTTTCAGCTTTACTGCTTCGCAACCTCAGCCTTTGTACATAAGAGGTGTGACGATGGGGAACGTGAACACATATGAGACGGTCAGTGAAGCAACCAGGCATCTTCTTGCAAGTGGAAGCCATACACTGGGTTACGATCTGCTGAGATCCATTCACAGTCTGGTTTCCTGAGATGGTCTGAGTCTGGAAATGCTAATTCAGTATAAAGATACAGTGCCTGACACCTATGACGCTAGCTACAGGCTATCATGCAAATCTGGGCATTTAAAGAGTATTTCAAAACAAAATGTACAGTTCCTTTTACCTCAAGGTTTTAGGGAATAGGCATCAGACACACACAAAATACCCGGTGACATTTCTATATGAAACAATGAACAGAATTTAACTGAGGCAAGCCGAGAGCAGAGCTGTGTTAGTGAGTATGTGTAAAGAAATGTACTTCAAATTCGTAAGTTAGAAAAACCTAATAATTAAAAATCTTTTCTGGTCACCAGAAAGTTGAGGAATCCCGGGATAAAGGGATGACAAGGAATTAGTCCTTGGTAAGGACAGTGTACTCCAACTGCATGCATAATTCCTAAAAAGGGCCTTAGCTTGCCTGACACTTATTGGTATAGAACCAGTCCCCAAGAACATAAACTTATACTAGTCACTAACATTAACTGCTAGAGATCACCTGACATCACTGTCTACCATCACTAGGGGACGAAAGTCCACCTTTCTATCTAAATCACTTTTTAAAAACAAATCAGTCGTGGCAAAGGTGACTATGTTAAATGATGGCTAACAAAATACAACTCCCAGCACAAACACTAGTAGACTTAGCAGGTGGAAGGAGGTGATTAAGCATGGGGTAGGAGATTCAAACATAAAAAAGATACCAATTTCTAGGGCAAGACTTGATTCTACCTTGAATCTTACCCAAATCTATTTGAACAGGTGCTGAACAATTGGGTCTTCTCTGTACCCATGACATCTTACAACAAATGACTACTAGCAAAGAGCTGGCTTATTACAAAATGCTGAGTTCTGATGATGGACCCTAAGGTGAAGTAAAACATTAGCACCAGCAAAGACAAAGTTGAGGCCATTGTCTTACTGGTAAAATCCCCTGTTAAGGATTATCAATGTTCTTTGGGTTAAAACTCAGTTTCATAAGGTAGAATTTGAGGGTTGGAGGGAACCTTAGAAACATTCAGTTCAACTTATTTTACAGATGGGAATCTGAAGCTATGAAAAATTCAAGTTAGGCAAAAAACTGTTTTGAAGGTTTCTGAATTGGCAAAGAATAAATAAATAAATACAAAATAACACAACCAACGCAGGAAATGACTCCTCTTAGTACCTAACGCAGAGACATGCTTTTAATAGAAATTTAACCAGGAAGCGTTTAAATATCACTTCCTTTTTCAAATGGGAAGTTGATACTTTCTGGCAGCAATTAATTTTCTTTTCTGATAAAAGTACATGTTTATTCTAGAAAATGTTAAAAGTGCAAGAATATACAAAAAATAAGCCATCCAACATAATTTATGATATTTCTTTCAGGCCTTTTCTATGTAAATACAAAAATAAGTACTACTTACTTTTTATTTTTTTTATTTTTTTATTTTTTTTTTACTACTTACTTTTTAAATGGAATTTGATTATTTATTCACTGAAAACAATGACAGGAACGGCAGCAGCACAGGTCCCTACTTGGTTTGTCTTAGCAGGCGGTACTGCAGTGATTCTCGGGAGCTGTTTGGGAACAGCCAAGGGAGACGCCTGGCAGGAAATACTGGTAACCAGTAATGGGCTGGTGGCGTTCACATGGCAAGGGAACAGGGTTTTTTCCTGACCTTTGTTGTCACTCTACAAGAGCAAGAGTCTCAACACAAGACAGGACACTGAGAACATACAGAAACACAAGGCAAGTCACAAGGACAGTGCTAGAATGATTTGGAATGGAAAACCAGAGTCCTCTTCGCATATGAGGCCTCTGAGCTTCCCTGGAAATCAAGTTAGTGCTTGAATGCTGGCTGGGGCTCTGACTTGGGCCTTGCGAGATGCAATACCATTTCGCATGACCAGAAACTCTGAATAATCTTGTGTAAAACAGCAGCATGTGGGTCCTTTCGATTCTTTATAAATGCTCGTACTAGTCATGTGGCTACCTGAAAACTAGATAGCACAATATTTTATTATGTATAGGCTGTTAACAAATACAGTGGCATGTAAATCTCTTCTCCCTATAAGGAACATGTGCCCACTCTCAGAACCTACTGGACTAGAACCTACGGCTGTTCTGTGATATAATGTTTATGACTTCCAGCTCTGGTTTAGTGATTTCTCTGGTACCTCCAAAGACTGCCTAACTTTAAAAAAAAAAAAAAAAGTCTGTTTTTAGGAAATCAATTTTGTACCACTGAAATAAAATCAGAGGGTAGTCACAAGATCTGAACATTTCTGGCTCATTTAGCGTCTGTTATCACCAATGAGATGTCATAAAGGTTAACTAGTTGAATCACTTTTAATCTTTTGTTTGTGATTCTGTGAGCACAAAATCAATAGAAGGCATGGGCAGGGCTGTGGAATTCACTCTCCACTCAGCAGACAAAAAGGCTCCACAGGCAACACCGAGCCGCTGGGGCTACATGGGACACAGCATCATAAACCTTGGCGACGATGCCACTTGCAGCCTCAAGGAAATACGGAAGCTCGGCAGGATGATACAAACAAGCTACTTAACAGACAACACATTTACACTAAGGCCACACTCAGGATTTAAACCAGTCCCTGAGCAGTAGTAAACATCAGAAGGGAAGAAAGGGTGAATGAGAACTTAAGGTTTTTAAGGATTATGGTTAAAATCCTCTGAAATCTATAGAGGTCAAATAAAATGAGAACTTCACTTTCCAGAGCACACCCTTTCGTGGGTAGTAGTGATCTCACATTTAATATATTTCACACAATACTATAAAATAAACCAAGTTTTTAGGCAAAACCCATTATTAGCAAGGGTTTGAGTTTTAGCAATATACATCTGGGTTTTTTGTTTTTTTTGTTCGTTTGTTTGTTTCTGTATTTGGTACAGGGACTCACTATGCACCTCAGACTCGTAGTGATCCTCCTCTGTCAGCCTCCCAGCCCTAGAATTATAGGCATGCGTTATCATACCTGGTCTGGTTTTTGCTTTTTCTGACAGTAAAATACTGTGGCAAATGACCAGGAAAGTTCACCAGAGAGGTGTGCTAGCTCACAAAGCAGAGGCTGCTGCCAAAGGCACTTCAAATGTAACATTTCTGAAAAGGCATGAAATAATGTAGATTCAAAGAAAAACAGCCTTAGGTATTATAACAGGAAGGCGTAGCAAGTGATCTCAGAAAGAACATGTCTGGCATTGCCTGTTCCCCGCTGTTTCTGTTTGCTTGCATATTTCTCTGAAACACAAGGCAATGAAAGGCACTTTTCCATAGTTTTTCTTTGTAAACAAATGAAGGGAAGTTACACTCCCGTATCAGTACTTCGGGCCTGAAAACCCTCCTTTCGAAGGCCACCCATGTCAAAGCGCGTAGAAACCTCACAGCGTACTAGTAACGTATCATCCTTCACGAAGGTTCTCTGTCTTAGGGCTTCCAGGTGCATGAAAGTTACATAGCCAAAACCTTTCGGGTTCCGGGGGATCGTGGGCCGCTGAAAGGCAAGCAGCTCGGGTTTGGCATCCATTATTTCTTCGTGGTTCTGCCTTACTGGTGCTTCAGACTGGTCGAGAATTGTAAGGCGGATTGTTCCCTGGAAGGGCCAAGGGAGGTGGCTGTCATACTCCCCTTGCATGGTGTGGACGAAGAGGGATATGTAGTTTGCGCAGCGCTGAGCGGTGGGTAACTGGAGGTGCAGCCGCATGCACAGCTTATATCCAGGCTTGCCAGTGTAGAAGCCAGGACTATGAATGACCACAGGCTTCTCCTCTTCTTGAGACTTCAAGTGCATCCCAAAGTTGCCAATCTTCCAAATGTAAATCCCATTGCACTGCTGAGCTTCAATTTCTGCGACTTTGTCCTCAAGGGTTCGAATAGTTCGTTTAAGCTCACTTACGTATACACTCTGGGTCTCCATCTTAGCGATCAGCTCCCGGATCTGATGGTCCTGTCTTACAAGGCGGCCCTCTAACTGCTGAATGGTTTCCTGGAAATTCTGGACCTCTGGGTGGCACCCAGGGGACACCCGGGACAGAGAGCCAGGATCATATGGCAGCACATCACGTGGAGGCACGGGAGTTAAGGCAACGTTTAAACTATGAACGGCCTGGGCCAGCATTCTCATGTGCGACTGGGTATTCTCCTGTAGGTGTCGGGCCAAGTGATTCCTCTGCATCTAAAAACCAAGAACAAGCACTGGGTGGGAGCCGGACACTGAGGGCTGTGGAAGAAGCTGACCCGGCAATAAGGTGTCCGTAGGAGCACGACAGCTACGCTCAATGTGCTGCAAGTTCCCTTTGTCGTCACTAGGTTCTTGATCCCCTAAAATGACCCCATCTCATCACCAAAACCTGATGCTTTCTGACACACACTCTCAGCTTTCCTCAAACAACTCCTTTTACCTGCAAAATATCAGTCCCTATACCCCCAAGATGCTGTCCGTGAGGCCTGGGCCTGCGCTCGGCGATCCCCTCTTTATTTGTGAACTCTCTTCCTTCAGTCTTTCACTCAGAATGTAACTATAAGATACTTCCCATCAGAAAACAGGCAAACAAACCTCTACTGCCTCTATAGTTCCCTCCGATTCATACCATTTTCTCCATTTTCCTTTAAAACCAAAGTAATGTCCTCATTTCCTTACTCATAATGAAGTCTACACCAAACTGGAATATTCACTTTCTCCATTCTATTTGAAGGTAATTAAGATTACCTTAATTGCTACCTAAAATAGTCATGACGTGATGATTTTTATTACAAAAAGAATTCTTGTACATAAAAAAAAATTAAAACATGATTTTAAAAAACTTATCTATCATTTCAACCAGCTTCACTAGTATCTTGACATTACTGCCTTCAGGTCTCTTTCTCAATGCATACAAACAATACCCTACTTTTTCAGAAGATATAATCATACCATATACTACTCTATCTTTTAAATTATTAAATGCTTATTACAAATAAATAACCCAAAGTATACTAGGAACACAAGAGGGTAATTACACCCTCTAGAAAGAACAGCATTTGACAGTACTGGTCACTGACGATAACTCTGGAACCACAACAACGCCTTCGCTTTGCCCAATTCATCTCTTTCTGGAACACTGTTCCTTCATGGTTCCCTGCCTTGGCCAACCTTTTTTCGTTATACGGACTTCTCTATGACCACTATCACACCCTCCTTTATTACAATAAATTACTCTCCCAGATCAAGATTTTGAGTCTCAGTTTCTCTTTGGAGCTAAAGACCACATATACACTTCACGCCAGTCATCCCCACCTCAATGTCCCACAGCTGAGTGAACTCAGATTGACAACTCAGTATCTTTAAAACCTAACTTTTTTTTTTTAAAAAAAAACCCTCTCCCTCCATTGTTTTCTGTATTCACTTTGCTTCTGAATAGTCCCTGCCCACCGACCCAAGGGCCAAGGCCAGAGACCATCTAGATGTCTTCCTCTTCTCCTACTGAGCTCACAGGTAACAGATCTTCCCTGTTTCTCTTGTTTGATCTCCATCTGTGCAGGCACTGGCTCCTGGGCCTGACTGCACTATTATCCGCACCACCCGTGCGTCCCCATTTTGGGTCTAGTTATCCCAAGATCAGAGAGCCACAGAAAGTCTACTGCTATGTGGTCGAAACTACAAACAAAACTACCTGCAGTGCCCCAAATCTCCACACTCACTCTCACTGATCTTCCTTGACAACTTTCTTCTATCTGTCAAGACTCAGCCCGCAGCCACACCTTGTCATGTCTACCTAAGTGCCCTGAGGAAGTGGTGGCGAACTTGCGACATGTGGGCCGAGACAGGCTGCTTACATCACTGAAAGGTTCGCTGCAGCTGCTCTAAGGCACCGGAAGTAAGCCTGTGTCTGCTCATAGCATCAGTGACCTCATCCCTTAATCACGCTGGTTTACAAACACACTCTTGCTGGTGCTCTGCACTAGACTACATAATTATTTCTGATTTATACTCAAGAATTCAAACAGAAAAAAAAAAAAACCCAACAAACAAAACAGCCCACCAACAAAAGCAACTTACCTTTTCATGGCAACCAAAAGTACTGAAGGTGCACGGGATCGGGGCTGTAGGACAGTCTAGATCGTAGTGAGTTGGCATCTGAAAGTTAAAGCAAAGGTCAAAAAATGAGGGTTCAGTTTGATGAAATTATACTTGAAAACGAATTTATATTTTGTCTAAATAAAACTATGTATTGCCAATAGCTATTTTGGAGCTGCAGTGGTAAAGCTAAGTAAACTGTGACAGAAAACTGTAGCCCACAAAGATTGAAATAATACTCATTTGTAAAAATCTTTTAATATCTCCAATGAAGTCATTTCGTAAAAGGAATTTGTTCCTCTTATGGCAACTGGCACCCTCTAGTGGTATTTTTAAGAAAGAACAACTTCTGACAACTACAGCTGCAAATTTGAGCGGGAACACCACTCCTGTGCACGTAAGGAGACCACGGACTAGATGCTCACTACTTCCCCATGAGAACATCCCACAGACACCTCACCTTTTGTTAACCTGGGCATATTTTGGCTCAACTGTGGGAACTCAAGATCTTTGGGGCCTGTGACGTTAGAAGATACTTAAAGCACATTCTGGAAAGCCCCAGGCTTTGACACACTGGCTTATTCTCTGTGGGACTGGGCATTAAACTCAAGGCTTTCACCCTGATCTAGGTATTTTTAAGACAGGGTCTTGCTAACTTGCCCAGGCTGGACTCAAACTAGTGATCTTCCTGCCTCAGCCTCCCGTGGCCACAAGACGGCTGGATTACTAGGCATGTGCCACCACACACTGCCTCAGATACATTCTTTAGAGCAAGTTCCATTACACAGGAGCGTGTTCTCTGAAAGTAGTACCAAATTCTGGCTCTGCGGATCAGAGGGCAAGTCAACGGGATAGCCAGGATCAAAGCCTAGGTTTTTTGATTCTTTGCCTAAGGTTTATTTCTGCTGGGTTTTAAATATGCTACATGGTTTCCTTTAAATATTAAGATGGCAAAAAAAAAAAAAAAAAAAAAGAAAGAAAAACCATGGAGGTGGGACTTCAGCAAAAAGAAATTCAACCTCTTCAAATTAAGACTTTGTGGGAAAGAAACTAAAGGACTCTGTTAACAGACAAATGGAAAAGTTGAGTCAAATGATAGGTTTCGCTTGCTTGTACAGGGGAAGGTAATCAATAGGGAATTCAGGCTTGCAGATTTCATGGGTATATACCTATTTGGTGACTAATATTCATATTTTGTGGGTAAACTCTCCAAATGTCAGACAACAACAATCAGGTGGAATTTTCCTTTCTCTATTAATAATCAAAACAGTTTTCTATCATAATTATGGCCTCTGCTGAAGGTCCAATGGTGGCCTAAAGGACAGCTAAGATTGGGGCCGCGGGCTCCAGAGATCACAAAGCCTTCCACAGCCCAAGGGGTCAGAGTGACAGACGTGTTTTGCTGGAGAGCAGCTTTGCTTCCTGCATCTCGCTGCTCTCTCCCACTCTTCTGGCTGGTCGCTGGGTGCTGAGAGCCGTACTGCATGGTGTGCAGCTATTGTCTGAGTCTACGGCCATAGGCCGGGGCTGTATGGCACTGGTACAGCGCTTGCCTAGCATGTGCAAGGCCTGGACTCCACCTCCAAACCACACACACACACACACACACACACACACACACACCCTTTCTTTAAATAGGACCCTTCATTTAACTGTGCTCATCTTAAAATATGGTCTTATAAAGACATATAAACATAGGTGTTATGTTAACGACTTAGGGATTTTAAGTGTTTAAAGAATTATTGGATTTTTGTTCTTTCACATTTTTATTAGTTACATTAATGAACATGAATATACATAAATGTGAGTACTATGTTAATGACAGGAATTTTAACTTTTAATTATTTTATTTTTTTTGGCGGAACCGGGGATTTAACTCAGGCCCCTGCACTTGCCAGGCAAGCACTTATTCTACTGAGCTATCTCCCTGGGCCAAATTTTAAATAGTTCTCTTGAAAACACTACATTTATATGAAAAATTTCTGTACCGTTCTATAATTCTAATACTTCTTCAACTTGTGTTGATTTGCCATATTGATTCAAATTTTTAATTCAAACACTAAAACTTCCTTAAGCTGGTCTGAAGTTTTAATTTATGGAAAAGAATCATTATACCTGTTCTCTGATGAGCATGGTGTTGCAGTACTCACAGATGACATTTGCCAAAGGGCAGTTCTGGTCATGGATCTAAATTTTATGAGAGAGATATAAGAAAAGCATGAGAAAATTAAATAAGTACAAACAGCCAATATTTAGAAAAAGTATTGTTTTACCATGAACAAATTAAGTATGTTAATTTGTGTTAGGCAAAAATGTGAGCATCACCTTCAGGAGGCTATTTTCTTTCTCTCTACTAGCGCAATAATGAGATTCATTCAGCGTCCAGCTCCCTCCCGCCTTTTGTGAGGCGGTCTACAAAAGAATCTCTAAAGCACTTCCTTTTACCCTGAAGCAGACTGTCTGGGACTCCTTCAGATACCATTTGCTAACGCTATAATTCTTCAAAGGCAATCTCCTTCCACAAGTTTTCAGCAGCAGCATGACAACTTAATTAAAACTCTTCTCAGTTACTGAACAAATGCATTATTAAAGCACAAGGCTTTGGTCTCCAAGTTCTCAGATGCTGTTTTCTAGAATTCAATGACTTTACTTCAGCTGATGCACTGAGAAATAATTAACGTTACGGGTTAAGTATTCAAGTTTAGCAGAGAGATGTTAATTTCTTCTAATTATGACTAAATTTTTTCTATATTTTTAGCAAGCTAGCTTTTTAAAAGTATTTTATCAACATAATAAATATAATATGCGTGATCAAAAGAACAATCATAACATAAATTAGTAAGAACTAAAGTTTAAGGAGGTATCTAAGTATTAGTTATAAAAATATAAATTATATAGTTTTAGTAAACAGCACAAAAGAGAGATTAAGGTCTAGCATTATAGTGATAAATTTTGACATTAACATTAATATAAAACTATTCAATGCCTCCGTATCCTGATTTCTGAATAAAAACTGTTCTCTTCGATGCTGTTTGGCCCCATAAAATTTCTTTTTAGAAGGATTTTTTTTGGCTAGCTCAGGATGCCTTCAAGGCAGGTTGGGTAAGGCTTGAGGATCTGGCGATTGAACCACACCATCCTGAGTCTGACTGCTTTGCTTAAGCAGGCACTTAAATAACTGAGTTAATGGGCAGGCCCCCAAAATTTCTTTTTAAAAGCTAAACTTTTTAATGTAAGTGTAAAATATGGACTAAAAAGTAAATGCAGTATGTAAGACAATGAATTGTCACCAATGGCATATACTTCATGGGATTGAATTCATTCTTTCTATCAACTCATTCTCTTGCAAGATGATTTTGTATACATCCTCCATAGCAATCAGTTTCATGTCTGCAATCAGCTTGGTTATTAAATTCCACGCACAGAGGAGTACTGATCCAGGCACCTGTTGCTGCTGGTAGATCTACAGTAGTAGTTACGGGGATAAACAATGTTTATTAGCAAAGTCTGCAAATATAAACACCATACTCATAATAATTTATTGCACCTTCCTTCCTTCCTTCCTTCCTTCCTTCCTTCCTTCCTTTCTTTCTTTTTTTTTTTTTTTTTGGCAGAACTGGGGATTGAACTCAGGCCCTTGCGCTTGCCAGGGAAGCACTTATTCCACTGAGCCATCTCCCTGGCTCCCGTTTTTTTCTTTTTTTGTGTGTGTGGCTGGCTCAGGCTGCCTTAAGGGCGGGTGTGGTGTGCCACGTGGAGCTGGGGATTGAACTGCTGTCCCACAAGCCTGACTGGGTTTGTGCAGGCTGGCACTTAAACAACTGAGCTAAGTGGCAAGCCCCTCCCTGCACCTTCATTTCTTAAAAGATCAATTTTCCAAAAATTTATAATGCAGAATCACAATTAGAGTTCTAACTTTATCTGTTAACCCTCACAAACACACATTAAAACTTGATTTTAAAAAAGTAGCAGAATTAACAAATCCAAGTTAGCACATGCCTCTTTCTCTTCAAACGCCATGGACACAGCACAGTTTATACACGAAATCTGCCTCCTTGGACAGTCCTTGAGGATGTGAATATTAAGCTGGCACTTCTGAATGGGACGCTGGCATTGCAGACAATTAATAAGAGCAAACTCACAATGTGCTTGATGATCCTACAAGAAAGAAAAAATATTCAGTTACTTTTTTGGGGGTAGAATTGGGGATTGAACTCAGGCTCTTGCACTTGCCAGGGAAGTGCTTATTCTACTGAGCCATCTCCCCCCGGCCCTAACAGATTACTTTTTGCCATCTGGAAGTTTTCTGAAGTTAATCTCTTTAATATAAACATATAATTCTCTTTTTTAGAATTTGCTATTAAAACTACATTATCTACTATATACAGTATTATTTACAATATGAAGGCCTTAATGAATTTTTGAAATAGTGTATAGACTGCAAGTTTACAGGAAGAATGTAAATTCTCAAGTTCAAACATTCAACTAGGGAAGAGAAGTAGAAGGAGGTCAGATTTTTAGAATTCAGTACTATTTTATTTATTTATTTATTTTTTTAAATTTTATTTATTTGTGTGTGTGTGCGTGTGT